ATAAACAGTCACAGAACCCAGTGCTGCATCAGACAGTTTAAAACCCCTCCCCCCCCCAAAAATATTGGGGCATTGGCACGTGAGCCCCTACCTCCCTGTCACACACTGCTCCCTACACCCCACCACAGGGGCATTACCCCACTGGCAGCTGCAGGCTGATGGCAGTGGGAGGACCCCCAAAATTCATCCCACCCTGACCCAGCCCCACACACTGGGAACTTCTGAACCCTGAACTGAAACCCAAGAGCTGCTCCAGGACAGCACAGCCACCCAGGAAAATACTGCAATATGTGGTGGCTGTAGGAACCCCTTCCCTGGCTGGGAATCAAAGTCAGGCTGCAGTAGGGAGAGTGCCAAATCTTGACCACTAGACCACCAGGGATGATGAGTGGTGACCACCAGGGATGATGAGTGGTGACCACCAGTGTAGAGTGGCCGCCACCAGAATGACCTGCTGCTGGCATCAACCAAGACCTGAAGGGACAGGGCCATTTGCTCCCCACAGTTCAAGGAGAGGACCAGAGGGGATGGATGCCATAGCCTTTCTGGGGGAATTGGCAGAGATGCCTGTGGCATTGGGAAGCCCCTCTGTGCAAGGGGACCCCACCTGTGTAGGCCAGAGAAGCAGGACATGGTAGTGCCTTGACCCTGACCACCACTGAAGGCAGATTTGGGGAAGGCAGTGACAGCAAATGGTTCAGGAAAAGATGTGGCATCTTCTGGGGGTTCACTAGGGAGGTTTTCCTCCTGCTGCTGGATCATGGTCCCTTTAGGGCTGCTGTGCACTGCCAGGCTCGTGTGACACACACCACACTGGGCACGTTGTCATGAACACAACAATACTGACCCCCAGTGACCAGCCAGAGCTTCCCCAGAGTCACTTGGGGACAAGAACAAAAGTGCAGGTACAGGCTGACTGTCAGCAGAGCCTTTCCTGGGCAAGGGAAATGATCTGAGCCCTGATGCTGGGCAGGGAGTGTGTCTGGAGTCCCCATTCCTGTAGTTTTACAGTAACCTGGTCATCTTGTTTGTCTATGAGAAACTGGCTGGTTGGGGCCAGCTTTTGGAACCTAATCTGGAGCTGTGAAGAGCAGGTAACCAGTAGGTGATTTTTCTTTACAGAAAGTCCTTAGGGGGAGTAGAGAATTCTGTCTTCCTTAGTTTGCCCCACAGAAGAGGAACAAAAAGTGGCTTCCTGATGAACAGGGAGATGGAGAGGGGCTGGAAATGGTCCCCCCAGTCTCCAGGGATTTGGTACCAGCATGGGCAGCAAGAACAGGCATTGCAGAGCCCTGGACCCCTGTCCAGGACAAAAAGCAGAAGGGAGAGCCCAGGGCTCAAGGGGACAGTGTAAGTGTCACCTGTGCCTGCAGCTCCCAGCACAGCAGGACTCAGATCCAAGGGGAAGGAGCAGTGACACAGAGGATGGAGCTCCTGGGCTGGGTGCAGGGAGGAGACCCCAAGAGGGGAGCAGGGGGTGTCTCCAGGGCCCCTCAGCAGGAGGATGAGCCATGGCTGAGGTGGGGCGAGTGGAAGGGCTCCAGGAGAACGCTGCCCGTGCAGGACAGCAGAGGGCCCAGTGCTCCTTGGATGCTCGCCTGTGGTTGGGAGGGGAAGTAAAAGGACAGGGAGAAAACCTCTCCGGTTTTCAGGGATCGATGCACACAGATTGCTGAAACCTCCCTGTGCTTTGCCTTGTTCATTGAACCTTCCAAAAAATGGTCAGTGCAGCTCCTGTCTCCATGTGAGGCTAAATCCCACCAGGGTCCCCCCCTCAGCCCTTCCATGACCTGGTCTGGTGTCCCAGTGGGACTGTGGGCATTCCCCACCCCCGGCTCCCCCCCACTGTGGTGCCATGATCTCTGTCCAGGTTTCTCTGCAGTGCCTGATGGATCCCAGCTGCCAGATTTGCCAACACCTTTCCTTGGGGAACTGCCCTGCAAGGAGAAGGACAAGGACAAGGACAACGGAGGCAACTCTGGGGAATGTGGAGTAGGCCTGGAGAAAGGATGGAGCCATGACAAATGACCTGGCATCTTTCCAAACCGCTGGCATCTCTGCTGGGAGGACTAGGGCTGCAGAATGCACCTTCAGAAAACCCTGCACAGGGCAAAGCCCCTGAGTGAGGGGCAAGGCTGGGCTGTGTGATGATCCTACAGGATAGTGCTAGCCCTTGGGCGTGTCTGGAGCAGGGAAGGGGGAGGTTTCCTCACTGGGAAGAAGCCAGAGCACTGTCAGAGCAATAATCAGATGTCATGGTTTCGGTTGCCTTTACCAGCCACGACAGAGCATGAGCTCTGGCTGCCTTGCGGTTGGGGGAGCATCAGTATCTTTCTGTGGTTTCTTAGATCTTGATTTGGCCCTGTCTCATATTATGTCACAGGCAGTAACAGTTCCTTCATCTGCAGAACATCTGCCAGCAGATCTGGGAACACCAAACAGGTTCATTTGGGTGTCCCAAGCCAGGACAGTGTCCATCTCTGATGGAAGCTGAGCGGCTGCCACTCACCACAGGCAACCAGGAGGTGACACAGTACGGGAGCTGCTTTTTGGAGCCCTTTGTAGGGCCACGTGGCAAAGGCAGGTGGGGGACATAAAAATAGACTTTCTACAGTCACTGCTTCTTGGAAAGAGAAATCCCAGTGTACTGGTTTAGGGCAAATTTGGGGGAAAACCTCCGGAAGGAGCCCCCAGAAAGCAAACCCCCACGACTCCTCCCCCCACCACCGGGTTCGGGAAGAATTTCTTCAGAGAGGAGTGGAAAAAAACCTGTTTATTTAACAAGCGAAACACTCCCCAGCACAAAAAAACAACACCAGATGACAAAAAAAACTCTTTCACCGCTCTGAATGGATGACAAACTCAGAAAGTCTCTCCTGTGAGTGGTCGCCCAGTTATTGGTCTCCAGCACTGGGGGATGACTGCTGCAGGTGACAGAATGCAGACTCCCGGTGTTTCTTGGTGTTTCCCGGGTCCCCGTCCGGAACAGGTTCAGATGGTATTCAGGAAAGGGAGAAAAAAAAAAAAAAAAAACAGTCCAGAGAAATAATTGGACTGCCTAGATGAACTAACTAATAAGCAAAAGCAAGGGCAAAAGCAAGAAAAGCAGGAGCCAAAAACGAGCAAGCAAGCAAGCGAGCAAGCCTCTCCTAAACACAGACCATGGGGGAGGTGAGCCGGCTGATAACAAGACAAAACAAACCTTCACTTTCAGAGTCAGTCCTGAAAGCACAGGACATAATACCAAGCACAAACAGAACACACGATTGGAGATGCAAGCACCATAACGTCACCAGGATCAGCCTTGGGACAGTTGGGATGAGGCTCAGCACAAAATGCAGTTGTTGGGCTGAGAAGATGAGAGTGAGACCCACTGCCTTCCTTTGCACCCTACATGGATATGGGGCATAAGCAATGCACACATCAATTAGCCAGACCAACAGACTAATCACAATTCTGGAATGCAATATGGCAGTAGCAATGAATAATCCATCTCCTCATCTCTGACAGGGAGTTGGCAAATTCCAGCTGAGGTTTTGTCCCTTGCAAAGCCTGAACACCTGCAGCACATTGCTGTGCTGCCCCAAAATGCCACCACTATGTGTCTGTGACAACCCCATGATGTCAGGCACTTGGTTCAGCTACAGCTCCTGCTCATTGGGAGTCTTCAGAGTCCTCAGGACACCGCCCAGCTGCCTCTTGGGAGGATGATTTGGAAAAGCCATGGGATCCTGCCCACTCCAGCAGGGTCCCTGGCACAGCCCTGGAGTCCCTCCTGCAGCCCTGGCCCCCACCCATGGGGACATCCTGGCGGAGGGGACACCGGGGAGGTTTTGAGTGCCCCCACAGACACAGGAGGCCAGTGGGGGATAAGGAGAGTGGCAGCAGAGCAGCCTCTCTCTGCAGCCCTGTCACAGCACTGGGGCCAAGGTTAGTGAGGAAATCTGGGAAACACGAGCTCATGGTGCCTTGTGAGCACAACTGGGCTGGAAAACACCCAGAGGAGCCACAGGCTGTGAGCTGGCAAAATGAGGGCCTGTCACAAAGAAGAGAGAGGTGGAAAAAGGGGAAATGCTCCCTGGCACATCCAGGGGAACCCATCACTGCAAGGGCAGTGCCAGGGGTCTCTGTGCAGACCATACCATGTCCCCTGGGTGGATACCAGGGACTGGGATCTCTTGGTCCCTCTCAGCTCCCTGGACTGGGGAAGCTCCCGCTCTGCCCTCTGTATCCCACCTTGTACCAAACCCACTGGCACTTGGAGAAGATGCTCTTTTTAGAGTCAGCCCATCCAGGCTGATTCCCAGTCAAGCCCTGCCCTTACTGGGAGTGTTGGGAGGTATTTGGAGGGCACAGCTCCACACTGGAAGCACAGCACTGAGAATTTTTTGCTTGATGGTGCCAAGGCTGCCAGCATGGACCTCCAGCCAGTCTCCAGACTGTGTTCCTGCTCCCTGTGCTGCCCTCACTGGCCCCCTGTATCCACCCTGGACATTTCCCAGACCCACCACCGGAGAAGGGACCCCTTGGCTGGACCTGCACCTTCCATTTGAGGGTCTGAACACCCCTGACCCTCAGACCTGGTTCCTTGAAGACGAGACTGAGCTGGGTCCTCCTGGTGCTTTGGTAGGGATGCTGAGGTGACTTTGATAAGCAGAGTTGTTTTGGATGATGTAAATGTGTACCTGCTGCTCAAGGATGGTTTCATATCCTGTCGTGGTCGGTGGTGACTGATTTGCTCACACTTACCTCCCTTCACACAAAGGCTATTCTGCTACTTCATCAACCAACTGTTTCCTTTTTTCTTTTTCAGTATTTCTGAGGCAAAGGTGCAATGACATTCGTTCTATTATGTTTTGGAAATTCTATATTTGCCTTCAAACCTGACTGACTGGCAACTGTCCCTATAAAAAGCAAGAACTGAGCCAGCACCTCAAAAAAGACACAGGAGGAAACTGCTCTGGTCCTGCCTCTCCCCTTGCAGCTTATCTCTGTCCAGAATGAACACCTCCACACTCTGCCTCCCCATCATCCTGGTTGCTGCCCTCTTTTTTCAGGCCCTTCCTGCTCCATGTGAATACAGCATCCCTCTGCTCTCCTGGGATGGACTTTTGCTCTGATTGTCTGTAATTTGGAGCATAACTGGCAAAAGTCAGCTGCAAATGTTGGAAACCTGTTTGAATAACTTCTCCAGATTTATTTGGGTTGGTCTTCCTTTCTAGCTTCCTTTTATCTATAGGGATGAATTTTACTGGTATCAAAGTTTTCAGGTTTCCTGTCCCCTGATTTTCTTGCTGGCCTTTAGGAGTGGACCCAGGGTAATGACAGAGATTTTTACCCTGGGATGTGAGTGTAAAACATTTAGCAAACAATCCTAGCAATGTTGTTTATCAAGCTTCTGTGTTCACAGCAATTTCTTCCTGATTTTCAAGGAAAACAGGAGGAGGAAAAGCAGTCCAGCTGATGAAGGAGGTGGTTGCCTATGCTCTCAGCTGGAAATGTACAATTTATTGAGTGATGGTTTCAGGCTGGATTTCCTGATCTCTTCCAGTGGGGTCTGGCACAACTTCGTGCTGCTTCAGCTACACCTCCCAAAAGCTGCCTCACAGTCATGTGCAAGAGTTTTTCTACACAGAAGCAAGTGTTCCCAGCCAGCAGTTGTGTAAGTACCAGCTTTGGGCCCTGAGGGGAGGCTTTGCCAGCCTTTGGGCTCCTGGCTTCACATCCAACAGGCCCCAGAGCAGGATGCTATGAGACATCATCCCTGGGGGAAGGGAGCAGCCACCCAGGTTCTATTTGCAGTGTGAGCCCTCACCCTTCTCAGCTGAGAAATAAGTGGTCCCTCGGTCTCCTTGGACTGTCCTGGTGCTGGGAATAAGGCATAGGAAGGAAGTCAGGAGCCAGCAGGACCTTCCAGAGCTTGATGAGCCCAATCCACACATTTCACACTGCATCCAGGTTCACCTCTGCATTGGACAAGGAGATGAATATCTGAGCATGGCAGGTTCTCCCGAGGGACCCTGATGTGCCCTGGGTTTTAGCAGCTCCTGGATGCTTGAGGGCTTGTGGGAGATGACCCAATGACATCACCCAAGTCCTTCATGTCCTGTTTCCCCTCTGGGACTGTAACCCCTGAACTCATGACTTGCCAGGTTTGTGACCAGGAAGAAGCAGGAGATTTGTGCTAACCCTGATGCCAGGTGGGTGAAGGAATACATGAACAGCCTGGAGCTGCAGTGAGCACTGGAAGCTGAGAAGTCCTGCCAGACCACCCATCAGAGCTTGACACAGACCTAGAAACGCTACTGTGAAGCACAAAGACCTGCTGAGCCACCTTGGGACCCCTGAAGTTTGTTTTGTCTGTCAAAGGTGTCATTTAACACAATAATTCAGCTACATTTAGGGCCCGGACTTGCAGACCCATCTTGGGGTGCCCTGCTGTGTGATGTGGCTAAACTGAGCCCCACCTTGTGCCTCCACTGCTAGAATGGGAGGGGGATTTCAGCCGAGAGCTATTTGTGTGTGCCAAAGAACAAAGTTGTTTTCTCTCTGTGTCATCTCTGGTTGTTCCCCTCCTGTTTGGAAAATGGGGACCCCACTGCAACTATTTTCAGAGATGTAGGGGAAAAACCTCAGCTTCTCAGCTGAAAGTGCCCCAGCCTCCTTAAGTCTAAAAGCCTTCCCTTCTGCTTGACCTCCCTGATACCAGCACCACAGCAGCAGCAGCCCAAGCACCTCCCAGCCCCTGCACTGATGTGGAGCCAGAATTTCTTCCCAGCCCCTTCCCCCCATCATATCATAACCAAGGCTGGAAGCTGGTGGGGCTTTGCTACTGGAGATTTGGCAAAAGAATGCCTGGAAATCTCAGGGTGGGTTTCAGGGGTGTCCCTGTGCTGAGATGGAAGGGGGATGGCAAAGGCTCCTCTGGAATGCAGCCTGAGCCAGGCTTAGCTCTTGGGATGCTCTGTTAGTGTTTATTGCAAGACAAGCACCAATTCACTGTTGTGCTTAGCACTGATCCAACCAGTCCCCACTTTCCACAGGCTAGCACCAGTGATAGCATGTATAAATGGGTGGGGTTAGGAGAAAGGATTCTTGGATGAAGTGGCCAGTGCAAGTTGAAAAGACAGAAATTGAAGAGACTGAGGTGTGAGGACAAGTTCAAACCATCAGTTCTCCAGGAGTGACAGTGAGAGGCCATGCCAGGATGTTCACTATGGGGTTAAGAGCAGGGACCAGTAGGGAGACAATGTGAACGCTGGGACTGAGGGTCTCCATGGCTCCTCTCTCCTACCAGGGCTTCTCAAAGTGAATCTGGGAGAGATGGAACAGCCACAAGGTTCATGCTCTCAAAGAGGCCAGAGAAACCAGGCTATCCAGTGTTCTGCCTATGAAACCATGAAGGTCTTCTGATCTCCTAATGCCTTCTCCCACTGCAGGCAGTGAAGGAAACATTTCCTAAGTCCAGCAACTGGAAACCGAAACCAGAAAGGCTTGAGAGGGAAATTCCCACAAGTGCCTGGGCACACAGCCAGGGACTGTCTGGAGGGGAGGCAGCTGTAACACTGGATGACCCAGCCTCTCCTGCAGCCTGTTCCTGCATCCTGGGCATGGGATAAACCCCAGCACTCTCCTCAACTTCCCTTCTCTAACATCCATCCTCCACCCCCTCTCAGCTCAGAGTCCCAGAGCAGGGACAGTTTGGGTCTCCTGCAGTTCCTCTGCAGCACCAAACTTGGGGTTGGGATGCCCTCAGGGGTAGAGGAGACATCCAGCACCCCATTCCCAGGATCTTCACCTGCTCCTGTCCATCCACTGACCACTCTGCTCGAGGATTTCACAGCACAGTGAGGTGACCCCACTCAGGATACACCCCCAGCAGATTTTAATATTTTTGTGTATTGCCCCAGCACCATCTCCTGGGACACAGAATGGTGCTGGGCTGGGCTGCCCTTTGCTGGGATGCTGCTCTTTGGCTGTTTGTGACCCTCCTGACTGCAGCCAGCTTTCCTGCCCAGAAAACACAAGACTACAGAAAATCATGAGACAATATAGAGGTGCTTTCCCAACCTCAGAGTTGCCAAATCTGACCTATAGCTTCAGGGGAAAAAATAAACACGAAGAGAAAGCTTTTTTTTTTTTTCCTTTAGGAAGAATGTGTTGTGGGCAAGGCTAGGCTAGCTCTGGACTATGCTGTGGGGACACTTGAAGGGGAGTCTGTAAGAAAGATGGGGACAAAATTTTTAGCAGGGCCTGTTGCTGTAGGACAAAGGGGAATGGTGTTACACTGAAGGAGGTCAGTTTAGAATGGATGTTGGGAAGGAATTTTTCCCTGTGGGGGTGGGGGGGCCCTGGCACAGGGTGCCCAGAGCAGCTGTAGCTGCCCCTGGATCCCTGGCAGTGTCCAGAGCCGGGCTGGACCAGGCTTGGACCACGCAGGTCCAACAAAAGGTATCCCTGCCCATAGCGGGGGTGGAATGAGATGAGATGAGCTTTAAGGTCTTTTGCAACCCAAATCTTTTTGGAATTTCTTCCCAGAGTGCAGATGTCAAGAAGCCCTGAGCATGATCTCCATGGACAAGCTGTGCCCAGCACTGTGCTTTTACCCTTGGGACCTGCTCCTGCCCATTCATGTTTCCATAGAAAGCTGCATCCTGAGAACAGCTGCAGCAGGTTTTCTGCTGGTTGTTTTAACCCTACAGAAACAGATGGACCTTCCCCTTTGTTTTATGGGGGGGAAAGTGAGGAACAACCCCCATTGGGGTGGTCAGAATGGAAGATGGGGTCCCTGTCCTTCTCCAGGCACCACTGCTGGTGTCAGCACGACATTGCATATCCAGGGATGAGTTTGAGGTGGAGTGTGTGGAGCTGGGAGCAGCAAGTGTGCAGGATGTGCCTGGGGAGTGTGGAGAGCAGATTCATGAATATAAAAGTCCCACATGTGGGTACAAACACTTCTAATTCTGTAGAGGATGTGGGGAGTGGGGGTGTGTGCTGCAGGGGAATGAGGTTTTGGAGGGTGTTCCTGAGTCTGCAGTATGGAAACTTTATGGGTTTGCCTCAAACCATTTTCCATCTTCATGTGTCCTATAGAGGCTCAGATGGCTCAGAGGGACATTCTGTGTGTGCTGGTGAACACCACACAGAGGCACATAAAAGGGAAAAAGCAAAAGTTTTCTCCAAATTCTTTATTCTCCAGAATCATGAGTTGACATGTATAAAACAGGGTCCCCTATCATCCAACATTGGGTCACCCTCCTAGAAATATCCTCCCTGTCCCCTCCCCCCAATAAATAATATCATTATCTATAGAATAAAAAGGACTGACTGTCCCATATGATGATTTCTTAAATAACTTCAAACAATACAACAGCCAAAGTGTGGTCCCATGGGCCTGGGGTTGGGGCAGAGGGATGAGGCTGAAGCCTGGTCCGTGCAAGCCAAGGATGAGTAGCAGCCCCGAACACAAGCTGCCCTTCCAGCAGTCCCCTGGGACAGCTGCAGATGCTCCTGTGGCTCCTGTTGTCCCAGGGTCCTGCTCCACGGCTGGAGCTCAGGATAATGTGACTTGTCTATGACAGCAGCTACTCTTGCCACACTGCTTGGCTTAGTTCTGCTCCAAGATTTGCAGGTAGCTTTGGACCCAGGCGTGTTTGGGATTGGCACAGACCTGGCGGCCTTCCTTTATGACAAACCTGTGGAACAGGGATGGGACATGTTAGACCTCTGCTCACACCTGCTTTCCAGGAGAGCCTGGATCCCAGCTCTGAGCACTGCAAGAGGTTTTCCCTGTGCTGATGCTGGAAACAGCAGATGGCTGTGATGCTCCCCACTCCCATCTGCCCCCTCCACTCCTGCAGTACCATCCCTGGGAATCCCCCCACAAGCACCCCCAGCAATCCCTATGCGACCCCGTTCTCCCTGGTATTCCCCTCTCCCTGCTCTGTTCCTACAGCCCCCCTTACCTTGCAGGTCTGGTCACTCACCCGCCTCCCCTCCCCCCCAGTGGCTGTCCCTGCCCTGTCCCATGTGCTGGCACTCACACAATGGCTGGTTTGGGACAATTGCTGCTCGTGATGTAATGACGCTGGATGAGCTTCCATGGGATTTTGTGCTTCCTGTATGTGAAACAGCATATTGGGATGTCGAGTCCAGCTAGAAGAGGCAAAGGAAGACAATGTGAGCACTGGGAGCTGTGCTGGCAGGGAAGGTAGTGAGGAATTAGAGAACAATGAAGGTTGAAATGGACATTGGGGATCATCTGGCCCAGTGGCACGAGCAGTATCAAGGTACTGTGAGAGATTCTCACCCTGCCACTGCTCAGAGCTTCACTTCCCCAACTCCTCCAGACCCAGGACAGAGGCAGAAATCTCTCAACTCTAACCAGGAATAAGTACTCTGGGCGATGGATAGATGGATGGATGGATGGATGGATGGATGGATGGATGGATGGATGGATGGATGGATGGATGATTTTCTAATTCCAGGCTTCCTACATGCAGCTGATCTCTGGGCAGAGTGGAGAGTGGCACAAATGCTGATAAATTCACAGTTATCTGCCATGGGAGCTCAATGGAGAAATAACACAAAAGGCTCAGATCTGTTCTCCCTTCACAAATGAAAAAGCAAGACTCACCTGGGCCAGAGAAAGTTTGGGAGAAGGAGGCTGAAATGAGGAGAAGAGCCAATCCAGCTGCAGAGACCTTCATCTTTCCACTGAGTGAGGGCTGTGAGAGCAGGAGCAGAAGCTCTGAAAGATGCAGCTCAGTGTGCAGAAGTTAGATTCGGCCCCCTTTTAAAAGGGAGTCCTGGAGACAGCTGGGAGGATCCGAAATGGAAATTCCAGGATGACGACAGGAAATTCCAAAGGATGACATGAAAGTGAAAAAGCTGAAGGGAATTAGAGGGAATAGAAAGAAGTGAGGCAGATTGGAATATGGTTCACAATGCCAAGTGATTCAGCACTCATTTTTGCTTTATTCAAATCAAAAAGAAACGAAAATGTGCCAAGTGGCCTGGCCACAAGAAGGAGAATGGTCCCTGTGGACGCCGGTGGGGGGTTTCCCTGTGAGGCTGTGTAGGGAAAGACAATGTTTGCATAAGATTATGCAGCTCTGGAAAAATCCCCAGCAGGCAGCACAGAAATGCTCTCGTGCCATTGTGTGCTGGGTGTTTGCCAGAGGCTGCTGAGCTGCTGCCCCTGAGCTCAGGGGTGGCTGCACTGAGGGCTCTGTGCCACC